CAGTTTCAGCACATGACCATCATCCTTCCCTCCTTCCCATCCTTCCTAATTAATTTAATCTTTTATCACCGTGGAGACACTAAAATCAAAGGCACTGGGGGTCCCAGGACTGAGATCCCTGTCCAGACTCCTTGGCCTCAGAGTTAACTCAGCAAATCCAGCCACAAAATTTTTAGAAAGCCAAGTCTGGGTGTTTCCTTTTCCTTCTTCAGCAACAACCAAACACCTGGGCTGTGTGTCATCCCAAAACAATCAAAATTACTCAAACCATAGATGCTCCTCTCTAAGAAAATGAATAATCTTGGCTTTCTTTTAGAATTCCTGACCAATCCCCATAATCTGAATAACAGAAAATGATACCCAAACATTGCTACCAGACAGAATTATAACCACCAGCACACTTTAACACTCAAAATAGCAATTAATACATGTATTAATTAACAAATTGAATGCATTAAGACTTGATAATGATAATTATAACTTATTACTGCCTTAAATCAATATGTGGACTCCCAAAACCCATAGTGCACAACAGGGCTTGGCTTTACCTTGTTTATACCTGTGCCTGTGGTAATCCTGGATGTCTCCAACTTGGCTCCCAGGGATAATCTCTGACAGATTTGCTCCTTTCTTTGCAATCAGTCTCCAGCCCATGACTTCTGTCCTGGGGTCAGGGGTGAGGAGCAGAGCCTGGTCTGCACATTTTGGGAGGGAGCTGGCATCCCCAGGTAGGACAGCCCACAGGGAGAAGTCGGGGCAGGGGGTGATGGTGACTTTCCTGCGGATCTTGTAGAGTTTCAGGTGTTTCTGGATGGAGTCCAGAACGCTGCTGTCACACTCCAGCAGGATGTGAGGCTCCTCTGCTGTGCTCCTGTGGAGCCTAAAAAACCAACCAAACAAACAAAAAAAAATCACAAAAATCACACCCTCAAGGTCAGGAAAACAAACACCCACAGCAGCAGGAGCCAAAGGTGGATTTTTATTTGGATGCTGGTGCAAATCTAGAAATCCACACAGGGATTTCTGGATTTGCACAGAAATCCAGAAATTTCTGTGCAGATTTCTGGATGGCACAGAGGGAGCAGCAGCTGTCAGTCTCAGATTCAGTCACAGAGAGAAACAGAGAGTTTCTAACCAGGCAGAAGCCTGGGAACCTATTGGAAAATAATGTAAATAAGAGGTTTATCTCCGTGTCGTTCACATTGTTTATAGTTAGGTTCTATCACTGTGCATCAAGCACTCTGCACTAATGGTGTGGTTGTTTTCACTCCAGGACCAATGGAGTTTGTCTGCACAAAGCTCTCTATAAAGAGCGATGGATTTTGAATAAAATCCGAGTTTTACTCTCAGCAGCCTTCTGAACAGAGTCTCTTCATTCCCATCCTGCCTCAGCAGTGTCAGCACCCACATCCCCACAGTGAAACACCTGAAGTGCTTCAGCCACCTGCTGTGGCTTCCCTAGCAAAAACCACCCTCACTTCTCCCGGGGGCAGAAACAGCTGGAATTCCATGTGGAATTCTCTATCCTGACCAACAGTGAAGGGGATTTCAGCTGGGGAGAAGCTTTGTTCAGCTGTCCCCAGGAGGGATTTGGGTTGGGAGGGACCTTAAAGCCCATCCAGTGCCACCCCTGCTATGGCAAGGACACCTTCCACCATCCCAGGCTACTCCAAGCCCTGTCCAGCCTGGCCTTGGGCACTGCCAGGGGCAGCCACAGCTGCTCTGGGAACCTGTGCCAGCACCTCCCAGGGAAAAATTCCTTCCCAGTGCCCCATCCATGCTGCTGGCAGGGGCTCTGAGCTCCCCCTGCAGCCTCCTCCTGTCCAGGTAGACACCCCCAGCTCTGCCAGCCTGGCAGAGCCAACATCCACACGTGGAGACACTGAGGCCACCACACTTCTCTGCTGCTGATTTTGTGAAATCCAAAGCTGTGCTTCGTGGCAGGTAAATAAATAAAGGCAACCTATGCAGCTGTGGTTATGAAATGTGTAGAACACCCCCATGGGACAGCTATAAAGATGAGTTCTAATAAACAACCAAGCATGGAAGAAGGCTTTTGAACCAATCTTTTGTTTGCAAATAACAATTATAAGTCTTAATCTGTTTTGTAATAAGAGTATTTGAATTAGAATGTTGCTTAGCACTAAGGATTTTAAACTGTAGCTTTAGATTGTATAAAGGATTTAAACAGAAAGGGAAGTGACCCTATCTCAAGCTCCTGGAGAAGGAAGGTGGACATGAAGATTGCTGATTAGTGACTTTGAAAGGGGAAGCTGGACATCACTACCATAGATTAATGGTCCTAAGAAAATAAGGAAAATGGATATCAAGATTGTTGATAAATAATTTTGAAAAGCAAAGCTGGACACCACTACCATAGATTAAAAATCCCAGAAAATAGAGGCTGGACCCAGCACCTGCACACACATCCTGGGATGTACACAATATAGAAATTGGTAAGGAACCAGACATCACCATCATGGATTTACGGTCCTAAAGTATAGAATTGTGATGTTAAAGGTAGGAATAGAAACTGTCAAAAGCTCACCTAGAAACTAGAAAAAGATTATGAATATGCATTAATATGATCAACAAATACCAGCAAGCCCAACAACCAGCGTGCAGTCAGAGAAGAAAACCCCCACCACTTTACCCAGCGCTGTCTGTGCTCATACGTTATTAATTAATAATTAATAATAAATACCATATTAATTCATAAATGGAATTGCTGCTTGATACATTGGCTGAGTCAAGCATCCCATTCCTAACAATCCCCAGATTGCAGCACACACACACACACGGAGGAATCGCTTTTTATTTTATTTTTGCACATATAATTAAGAAATTTAAGCCGGAAATGTCACACGGCGGTGACAGGAGCCACCCCCCCCGGCCACCCGCAATGGTCTGTCCCAGCTCCCTCCATCCCCCCCTCCGGCGGCGCCGCTTGGTCTCACCTGTACAGGATGACGTCATACAGGCAGCGGCCCTGCGCGTTCAGCGCGTGCGCGTAGAGCGCGCGGGGGGCGTCGCCCTCCGCCAGCAGCCGCGTGACGTCATTGGTGAGCAGCCCCTGCAGGAACGCGCCGGCCTCGGCGCCCCGCACGCCCAGCAGCGCCCGGCCCAGCGGGAAACAGGCGGCGGCCGCACCCCGCCGGCCCCGGCACCACCGCCGCAGCCCGGGCGCCGTTATCGCCCTCACCAACATGGCGGCGCCCTCAAAGAATCCACCCGGCGCCGCCGCCGCCCGCCGCTGCCGCCGCCATCTTGTGTGTGTCCGCCGGGAGGGCGACAAGGCGGGACCGCCCCCTTAGGCAGGCCACGCCCCCTTTTAGCTAGACCACGCTTCTCCATTAGCATGTGTTGCTGTCGTGACCACGCCCCCTTTGGCTAGACCACGCCCCTCCATTGGCCTGTGTTGCTGTCGTGGCCACGCCCCCTTTGGCTAGACCACGCCTCCCATTGGTCTGTGGTGCTGTCGTGACCACGCCCCCTTTGGCTAGACCACGCCCCTTCATTGGCCTGTGGGGCTGTCGTTGCCACGCCCCTTTTGGCTAGACCACGCCTCCCATTGGTCTGTGGTGCTGCCCTGGCCACGCCCCCGCCCTCGCGGCCACGCCCCCGGCGCTGAGGGGCGCTGGGCGCTCCCCGCGATCCCGGAGCGGGAATTCGGGAACCCCCAAATTCCCAAATGGATTTGGTGTTTGGGGATTTGGGGAGTTTGGGAACCCGGCCATGGAGCGAGCGAGGGGACAGCCCGCAGCGCTCCCACGTCTCCCCGCGGTTTGCTTGTGGGGGCTGCCCAACCCAGCTCGCCCCATTTAATTGGAGAATCCGCCAGGCTGGAAAGGAGCGGGGCCATCGAGTCCGGCCACAGCAATTAGAGCATGGCACTGCAGCACCTCCATTCCTGCCCCTAAAGCCCACTGGGGGCTGCAAACAGCGAGGGCACAGAGCCATCCTCCCCCTCCAGGTGCATTTTGGCTGTCAGGGTGGAAAAGAGACTCCAAAGGTTCCTCGTTTTCCACTGTTTTGTTTCCACAACTGCCCTCCATCCTCTTTTAACAGCCTTGGAGAAGCGGTCAGTGGTACCAGTAAATGGTAACGTTTGGCAGTGGGAATTCCTGCTAAAATAAAGCCATGGAATCATGGATTTGGCTTTAAAGGTCATTAAATCCAACACCCTTCAAGGAGCAGGGGCGTGTTCAATCCATCAGGCTGCTCAGAGCCGGAGCCCAAACTGACCTGGAATATTTTCAGGGATGGAGGATCCCTGTGTTAAAGGGTTAAGCGCTGTTTCCCTCCCCCTGGAATGTTCCCTGGCGCTGGGGGAAGTGGTTCCTGGAGTGCCCGGACAGCCCCGGGTGTGGCTGCGGCTGGAATTCACCCCACAGTCAGCCCGCGATCCCCCTTCTCCAGCACCAGCAGCTCCCCGGGCAGGAGCACTCGCCTGGCCCCGAATCACCCCGCTAAAACCTCCAGCACCAGCCCAAACCCACCGATCCCAAAACCCCGAGGGGTTTTTGGGAGGGAGGCTCATCTCCAAGGAGCTGGAGTTGATGCAGCTGGCCCTGGGCAGGGCTGGGAGTTAATGCAGCTCTCCCCTTGTGCCCCGCAGTGATAACCTTATCACACAAACCCCTCCCGGCAGCGCTGAGACACGGGGGGTGTTCACCCCACTGGAATTGGGGGCTGGCCCTGCAGCTGCAGAAATAAAGATGTGGGCAGAGGTGACTGGAGGTGACCTTGGCACACGGATGTGCTCTGACCACCCGCTGGCACCAGCTGCGTGTCCAAAACGGAGCTGGGGAAACCCACCCGGCTCTGGGGCAGCTGGAGGAGCAGAGAGATGATGCCCAGGGTGGTTCTTTTCTCTCCCTGGAAGTGGGGATGCGCCCAGAGCAGGAGCTGGGTTTGCTTTTTGAAGGAGAAGGGGGGAAAGTCACAAATCTGGAAGCGCAGCTGGGCTGGAACTCCAGAGTCCAGCAGGCACCCTGCAGGCACATCTGGATCCAGCTTTGTGGGTTTTTTACCTGTTCCACAGCCCTGCATCACCCACCAAGCTGTGGAAATTGTCAGTGGCCATCCCACAAGCAGCCCTTTGCCATCTCCCTGCATTCCCAACCACCACAGGTGTCTTGTATCAAACCCCACAGAGCTAATTGAAAGGGCAGCACAGGGAATAAAGTGAAAATGGAAAACAATCAGCCAGTTCAAATCTTTATTTGTTTTACCACTTCCTACTGCTTTTATTCCCTCCCCTCTGGCTTTGCTTTTCTCATGGAGTTATGCAGCCAGTGAAGTCATATAGAAATATTTCAGTGTCAGAAACTCCAACTCTGCCACTTTAGTGCATTAAATCAGCTCAGGGAGTGGTTTGAGACAATCCATGGTGTCACTGGTTTGTGCCAGCCCTCAGTGTGTGTCTGTTCACTAAAAATGGGGGTCCTGAAGCCTGGTGGAGGGGACAACACACTTTCCAGAGCTTCCATACTTTAATTTCTAGTGGAACATGGGGAATTCCAGTGAGGTGTCTCTGCTTGCGGCAGAGGGTTGGAACAAGATGTGCTTTAAGTTCTTTTTCAACCCAAACCATTCTGAGATTCTGATATTGCCCCTGATGGATCAAACCCCACCTAGGGGTGTTTTTGGAAGGAGAGCTGGTGGCACAGGGTGACAGGACACGAATTCCCTCCTCGGTGTGCACCTCTCACCCAGTGGGATGTGTCAGGGTGGCTCAGGCTCCCTTCCCACAGCTCAGAAGGTGGTGACAAAGGACAAAGATTCCCTCCCTGTCCCTCAGCATCCCCTGGGTGGTTGCACAAGCTGCCAGCAGCCTCCTGCTCCATCAACTTTCCACTCTCTGCTCTCCCACTGCACAGAACCCTAGACAGCCCGAGGCTCTCACTTGTGAGGGCTCATCCTTGACATTTAATTGTCAATAACTCATCCTCACCAGGGATAACCTCTACAGCCAGCCTGCAGGGTAATGCTGCCATAATAAACTCTTTTTCTCGGGGTTTTAAGCACAACTCCTCATCCACAAACCCACGTGAGCTGCAATTATTCCTCCCTGTGCATTAAATATTCTGAGAGGTCAGCCACAGGCAGCTGGGACACGAGGCTGTGGTAAACCATAGCAGCACTTCTGGGACAATATCCCACAGCCTTGGAGAGGAAAACAGGGATTGTGGCAGGCCTGGACAATGCAAAGTCAGTGATGACAGGGAGAATTGCAAGTACAACAGGCAGGATGCAAGAATAGAGCAAAGTGGAAGCTGAGCTTGGAGGGAGTGAGTTTGTGCATCCAAAAGGCTGTTCTGAAAGGAGGGTGGGCAGCAGGATTTTCTCCTATATTTCTCCTAAATACAGGGGAAACAGCCTGAAGTTGCACTGAGGTTTACATTGGGTATTAGGGAAAATTGGATATCAGTTGCACTGATGAGGTTTACATTGGATATTAGGGAAAATTTCCTCACTGCAAGAGTGGCCAGGCATTGAACAGGCTGCCCAGGGAAGTGGTGGGATCACCATGCCTGGAAATGTCTAAAAACTGTGTGGATGTGGCAGCTGGGGACAGGGTTTGCTGGTTGTGGTGCTGGACTCATGAACTCAGAGGGCTTTTCCAACCTTAAGGGCTCTGTGATTCCTGCTGGAGGGACTGAGAGGGAGGGACAGCTGTTCCTGCATTTCCCTGGTGTGGCTTTGTGATGGGTGTTTTACTCTAGGTGAGAGGAAAAAGGAATAAGTTGTGTTTGGGTTGTACTAAAGCCTTTATTTTATATTCTTTCAAGATCTTTTGAAGAGGATATATTGTTATTTTTGGTATAGTAGTAGTAGTGAAATAGTAATAATTGAGTGGGATTTTGAGTAAGTAAGAGCTAAGCTTACATTTTGTTTGGGCCAAGGTAACTTTATGGAAATACCAGAATTGTGCCTACGAGCAAAAAGGCCTCTGCTCTCTGCTGCAGCTTTTTAGATCAAGGCACTTAGTATAAGTTTCTACTAAAAGCTAAAATCTATATTCTAAATCTATATTTCTATTTCACTTTGTGGCTTCATAAATCTCAATTTCTCCAGGGGTTTCAGTTCAATCCCTGTGCCTGGATTTCCCTCTGGGCCTGTGCCCTGAGGGGCTTGCATTCCAACAGCCTGGGAGGAGGGATTGGGACCCAGTGGGATGCTGTGGCTGGAATTTTCTGCAGCCATGGGTGTTGTGATCCCAGAGAGAACTGGAGTCACCGGCAATTTCAGCCTGGCTTTCCAAAGAATGGGAGGGGTTGTAATTATTCTGCCTATTCCCAAAATACTGCTGGATGGGGGCTGCTTTTGCCTTTCTTCCTTCTATGAGTCAGGATCAACCCCCAGAACAGGAACATCTCCCGCCAGCCCAGGCTGCCTCCAGCCACATCCAACCCAGCCTTGGCTCTTCCCTGTCTCTTGGTGGGACCACGGCCTGTGTCCTGCCAAAGTTGTCAACTTAGCTCAACTTCCAGAGAAACAGAAAAAAAATGCATGTTTGAGTCCAGATTTTTTTCCCTGAGGACATTTGGAGAGGGGTTGTGAGTGAACAGTGTCTGTGATTTAATGGGAGCAGCACGCACCGAGGTGCTTGGAAAGCCAGGCTCTCTCACAAAGTGCTTTCCCCTCATTTCCTCAGCCTGAATCATCAATTTCTCCCAGATTTCCCCAAAGTTTTCTTGCTTCTGAAAGCCCAGGCTTCCCTCAGCAGTTTGAGCTCCATGCCTGAGGGATCTGCAGTGATTCATCAGGGAGACAACGCAACCCAAACAACACCAAGGTCAAACGCTCCTTAAGGCAAAACTATTTTGTGATGATTTGTAGCCATATCAGGGAAAACAGAGCTCCTACGTGGCTAAACCAAGCAAATCACAGATGGAGAAGGACTTCTTCCCATCACTCAGAGCCCTTCTCAAGCAAGCACCACACGCTTTATGTACTGTAACAAAATGTAAGTTTTATTCTGTATTATTAGTAATGGTGTGGAATAGCCACATTGAGTTGGACTGATGTCCCTTTCACTTTTGACCAGTGTTTCATATTCTAACTACAGCCCAGATGTAACATTTACACTGGAAAATACTTACAGATTCGACCTCATACTCCAAAAAATTTCTAGTACAAATACAGTTAGTACATTAAAAAAAAAAAACAGCCAAAAGAAAAAAACCAAAACCCCAAAAAACCCCCAAAAAACACCC